CCCCCCACTTCCTGTCACCCCCCATGAGGTCTGTCATTGTCTCCTTATGGTCCCTATCAACCCCCATGGTCCCCATCACTGTGCCCTTGTGGTCTCCACCACTGTTTCCCCACGGCCCCCACCATTGTCCCCCTGTAGTCCCCACTATTGTCCCCTCACAGATCCCACCACTGTCCTCTCACAGTCCACATCACTGTCCCCACCATGGTCCTCACCAGTCCCCTTGCTGTCCCCATCATTGTCCCCCTGCAGTTCCCATCCCTGTCCCCCCGCCACAGTCCCCATCCCTGTCCCTACACTGTCTTCATAACCGCTCACAGTCCCCATCCCTTTCCAGTCCCCATTCCTGTCCCCCCACATTCCCAATCCCTGTTCCCCTTCTCTCCCCCTAAGCCCGCACATCACCCACCACTGTCCCCACATTGTCCCCACCACTGTCCCCCTTCAATCCCCATCCCTGTCTCTTTGCAGTTCCCATCACTGTGCCCTCACTGTCCCCATTGTGTCCTCACAGCCTCGTGGTGGGCTCGGACGGGTACTTGTATGAGGGCCGCGGGTGGCACTGGGTGGGTGCCCACACCAAGGGCTACAATACCCAAGGCTTTGGAGTTGGCATCATTGGGGACTTCACGGCCACCCTGCCGGACACTGACACACTCACCCTGGTGCGAGATGAGCTCCTACCTTGTGCTGTCCGCTCTGGCCACATCCGGCCAGACTTTACCCTGCATGGCCACCGCCAGCTCGGCCACACCCACTGCCCTGGCAATGCCCTCTTCCAGGAGATCCAGAGCTGGCCTGGCTTCCAGGGGACACCGGTGGCACTCGGGCTCAGGGTGGGTGGTCTGATGGGGTTGCTGGGAGGGCATTTGGGGTCATCTTGGGACTGACTATGGGTCTTGTCCACTCCGCAGTGAGGAGTGGCCCTGGCTGGAGAGCCTGGGCTGGACAGGGGCAGGGGAAGTTGGACACTGGTCCAGATAGACACCAGACCATGGATCCTACTCTGGATGGACACTGGTCCAGATGGACGTTAGAGCCATGGATCCCAGCTGTACTCTGGTCTGGATGGCCCCTGGCCCTGCAGCCCACCAGCTTGGCCAGCCCCAGACCAGATGACCACCAGCCTAGACATACCATGGCCCACCCTACTGGCCCACCAGCCATCCCAGTAGCCCCCACCCCAAAACCCCCCAGAATAAACCTAATTGCAGAACATTGGCTACAGAGTGAGGGAAATTGAGGAAGGGGCTGGGGGGGTGATTTTGCAGTGATGGGAGGGGACTTCAGGACCCATCCTGGAGACCCCAAAGCCTGCGTGCCTCCCCG